CCCTCACCCTAGCACGCTAGGGAGGACATACCCGAAAGGTAGGTAGATATGATAGCCGGTTTGCGTTGCTGTGGTTGCGTTCAAAAAAGTTGTCTAGACATGCCCTAGACACCTACAGCTACCCCACCAACTTAAAGCGGGTTGTTGCTTTAGATTCTCGATTGTCCGGTCAAATGTAACAATTCATGCGACGTCACAACGTTCTTTTCAGATGATGCGTGCATTCAGCATAATGATGATGGTTTTCGTATGTTCATGGTGTTTGGCGGCGATCACCACCCACATAGCCCTTCGATATCTCCGAAAAGAGCTTTCACTAGTTGTTCAGACATACACTGTGAGTCAAAGGAATCCTTACTGAAAAGTTGGTGCATTCTTTCCCAACATGACTGTTTTATTTTATTCACTTGCACGACCAGTGTCCAGAACATAGTCCTCAGATGGAAACAAATAATTGTAATAAGTCTCAGATAGAAAGAGGTCAACTGAATTACGAAAACTGGTTGCTTTGAAAAAAATGTCCTCCCATGAACAGTGCATGCTTCAGAACTGAAGAGAAGTTAAGCTAATAAGGGTTGCGAGATTAAATGAGATCAATCAAGACAGCCTAGTTCAAGAACCATGAAGATAACCAAGCCCAAGGCCGCAGCATGTGGGCGGATGCCAGTACATTTCATTGACCTGAACAGATCACTGTGATCACTGGAGACAACATGCAAAGTTTCACGCACCAAGATTCAGTTTTGGAAGAGAAACAAACTTACAAAAACCACACTCTATGGACAGTCGAAGGTAGTCGCGCGGAGCCAAAGGCGGGGCATGGAAAGAAGTGCGCCTTGGGCGGCCACGTATCAGGCGACGCATTGAAAGAATCGGTTAAAGCGTTCGATTTTGGAGAATAGAGACAAACGATCGATAGAATAGGATGCAGTAGAAGTGTTTGCAATAAGTCAAAAGGTCAAAAAGAGTTTCTAGTGACAGCACTCCGTGAACCAAGTGGAAGCGTTCCCGTCGCCAGCATTTGTGACAGATGTCCGGCGGAATTTGAACGCGTAGCAGTCCTTCCAGTTTTCGAATTTTTCCAAAACAAATGCAATTTTTTGTTTTTTTCGTTCTTACCGTGAAGTGTATGGAATTC